AAAAGCACGATGAAATAAGAAGACTCAAAATTATGGTGTTTCAAATGTCATAGAAGCCGAAGAATTTACTTGTTATGGGCGAATAACCGATATAATGGATATCAATTATTTTAATTTATTCAGAGTTGTGCTATTCAAATGTGATTGAGTAAGCACAAATGTTTTAGATATGAAACGAAATCAGTATGGATATAATTTGGTTTCCTTCTCAAGTTTAATTCATATTGGAGGGAGTTTGGAGCATGGTCCTTTTGTATTTTCATCAAATGTGGAGCTTATTTTTTACATTGAAGATCCAAAATATTCAAACGGGAGTGTTGTTGTGAAAGTTAAACCAAGAGATGTTTTTTATTCCAATACCGTTAGACGTAGAGAATTGATGACCTAACTATTTAACTCTCAAACCGTGAGATTACAAGAATAAGTATCCGGACTAACTACAAACAAATATAGTGGATCCGATCATGTATTACTAACTGCAATATATTTACATATCTAAAACTTAAACTTTATCTTTGCATTTATGCAGCTCAAAGCTTTCATATCACATTAAAACTATCACCATTTTTAACTTTTAAAAAAACAAAATACACTTTTTTTGGGATTTCGTTCAAGTCAAAATTGATTATTTTTCTTAAGCATTCCATAATTCCATCTTTTTAACTTTTAAAAAACAAAACACATTTTGCTTCCCATTTTTTGAGGGGGCATTTATATACATACTACACATTTCTTATATATTTACATGCCTAACTCCAAACTTTCATATTTACATACATAAAACTTAAATCTTTGACATCACATAAAAAATATCTCCATTTACTTTTTCTAAAGAGTGATACAACATTTTTAATAGAGGCTGTTAAAAATTTAAATATCTAACTTTAGGTGTTAGATATGTAAATGCATAAGAATTGTTTGGTATGTATGTAATTTCGCTTCTTTCTATAGAGAAACACAATGAAGGCCGTATGATTAAAAGAAAAAATCAGGTGAGGATATCCAAATTAAACTTTTGCTCGAAATTTATTATTTCTTTCATTTATTGAAAAAAAATTTCCTTTTACCTGTTCAAAGAGGAGACAATTTGGTACCTCTGTATACATTATTTAGCCTAGAAAAATACTGTTCTTCTGTATATTTAATAACTGTAGTTTGATATACAAAGAAAAAAAATAAAAGAAGCTATAGCGACATCACTTCTTCATACATGCCATGCCACCTTCCCTTTACATGAAAAGGTGTACATCAGTTTTTGAAAGTAAACTTTAGGTGTTAGATTTGTAAATACATTGGAATTGGGTGATATGTATGTAAATGCCCCTATCAAAAAACATGTCTTGCAGTTTTTCTCTGTAGCAGCTGCCCTAGGAAATATCAAAATTCATAGAGAAACACTCCAGATATCATCCTCGCAACTTACATATCAAAGTCTCTATAAGAGTCGTAGTGACTATATTTTATAGGGATAATTACATACACAACACTCAAATCATTGTTATTTATAAAAGTAGCCTCTAGGTGATTTTTTGAACTATTAAACCGACATAATTATGCAAAGTCAAATTTTGATTATTTTTCTTAAGCATTTCACCATTTCATTAGGAACTGAAATTTATAAACTATTATTAGCTTTTAATGCTACTGTTGAGCTTTCATTTTACTAAATGCATATAATTAGAAATAGTCTGATTTCTCTAATGGGTAGTATATAGGTAAGTTCATTCAACATGTTTGTGTATAGGCATTTACCTACAAAAAACTCGAGTCCTATGTATTTACATTTCTTCTCATGCATAAGTAGGATGGCATATATGAAGAAATTAAAGTCCATGTGCTAGATATGTAAATACATAAGAATTAAGTGGTTTGTGTGTAAATATTCCTTTAATATATTTGCAAAATTTGATTTCTATAGTCAACAAGTTTTGAATTATTTAATGTTATTGAGTTACCATTTCATTTGGGGAGGACTCATTGCTTGCAACATCCTCAAGTTATTTATGACTAATTTTTTATTCATTTCCTCTTGCTTCTTATATTGCATATTACTAAAATCCTCAAATTCTAAATGCTCATTTTGGTTATTTTACATCGATTTTTACTGCAAAATAGTGTTTAAATTTTAACGAGTGATATTTAAAGGGTTTGAAACTATTCCATTTTGTACCAGAAATTACTTATTATCTGTATGACAATAGTAATTCCTAAGGAGTTTGATCGTGTAAACAATTTATGAGTTTAAAGAACTGACATGAGTAAGTTTTTTTAAACCAACTAGGGATTCCAGCAGAGAGGAGATAGTTGTAAAGCAGCTGAAAATCCTACTCCAATTCATCTTGAAACTCCCCAGCATGAATTCAGTGACATAGAAGAACCAAGTCAACAATTCCATGATTCTAGGCAACAATCATCTTCTTACACTTAGTTTCTGTTATTTTGACCCCCAATTATTGAACTAAGGTAAAAGGACATTTTTGTAATGTGGTACCGCTCACCTACCACATCTCACCTACCGTTCACCTACCGCTCACCTACCTCCCACCTACCACTCTCTTGCTTCTATAAATAGAGAGGGTGTGAGGCTTAGGAGAGCAAGGGAAGA